CACGTGGATCGATTTCATTGCATTTCTATAAAATTTCGCAGACCGAACAGTTACGATCAAATAAATCCCTTTTCGTCAAGCCGTACGGCGCCCAAATATCGAACTCTTTCGTAGCAAGCTTTCTCCAAGTAACTTTAAAAAATTGTCCGGTTTAAAAAAAATGTTTAGATCCTTGCCAATATCATGGCTATTAACAGTCGGCCTTTCCAAAGTTTCACGATAATTTCGTCAATTTTTTCTCATTGATCCACCGCTAAAAGGCTGCCATTTCATATCGGAACTTTTGGTACGAGATGGCGGAAGTATTGGGATTTTGGTTAGTTCTGTATTTTACACCATAACTTATTTATGGGCCCGGTAGTATTTGTGTTTTTAAGTATTATAACAACTATTACTATAAGTGGAAATCTTTGTAGAGATTTCTCTCATGCTCAAAGTACTTCATCTTAAGTGCGAATAAAAGCACTTTCATTGTGTTTCAAATAACGACCTTCAAATGACATTCACGTCAACCTGACTTACGTTACTTATGATATGTAACTCTAAAGTCCTCACCTAGTAAAGGGAACGTTCAATCTTTTCCGACCAATATATATCTTTATTTGAAAAAGATCCTTATTTTTGTTAGGAGGTAAAAACAAAAAATCAGCTCTAAGAGATTACTTTGAAAATGTAATAGTTTTTATTTTGAAAAAATAAAGCAAAGGTACGTCAGGACATATTCAAGTTGCCAAGGCGCTGGTCCTACTCACCATCAATGCAAATAGGCTCGCAAGCAGTGAACTCTGACGCCTGTTGATCAGCCGCAGTACGTGCGACCAACCACATGGTTTATTATATCGTAGAAATGCACGATTTAATTTAATTCTGCCCAGGATGATCGCGCATAGATGTACCTCCTCTTTTCTGTGCGTACGCCTCGGGCGATACCAGTGCCAAATTGTCACCTGCTATCGTCAAGTTAACTGGCAAATGAATTTAATGTAATAGTGGAATATCCAACCGGCGACGCCAATCCTGGTAAGCGCCTGTTCCCTCGTGTCGCCGCAGCACGCGACGAACTACCTGAATATTTATAACATTACTTGTAAATAATCTCATATATCTGCGCGTTCAAAAACTGTATGTTTCTGCAACGGGTTCAGAGAAATCGAAAAGCTGATCTGTTTTCAACGTCCTTCTCCCAAGGTGCGTTTTCTGTGAAGAACTCTTCGTATCTCAAGACGTCGCGATTATCGGAAAAAGGACCTCACCACTTTTTTTTATATCACTATTTACGATAGATAGAGGCCTGTATAATAGAATTTATGCGCCGACCAATCTATGCGCACACTTATGACGCTTTGTGCGCGAAGTGCGCCTGTCTCACAGCTGCATGTTTTGTCATTGTTAGTGTTCTGTGAACCCGAGGTGAAAGCAGGCATCGGATTGTTACAGAATAATTGCTTAGAAAATAGTCTCTTCGAGTGTTCTTTGACAGAAAATATACAGATGATAATGGCTATAGGCTAACGGTAGTGTTGCTGGTGATTCTTGAGGAATCGCGAAAACGATGTCAGAGAACGACGAACTACTGATGTAGCGCAGAGAACTACGGCAGGAAGATGGACAGCTGGAAATAATCTATTGGCTATAAGAACGGTCTGAGGCGCAGTACGGCCCACCCTGTTGAATTTGTACCTGCCCAATGCTGCAGTAAACATGAACGCCTTAGTCGCTATTTGGCCAGGCATCCTACATTAGAATATACTATATTATGCATAGAGTAGCCGGTTTACACCGATGATAAAGGCTCTTTTTTGGGTGAAGGGAGGGTAGTAATTGTTGACTTAAACCAACAATTGCGGCCGTAGGACTCGCTAACGACCCTCCATCAAGGTTAGAGGTCTTATCGTAATCTAAAATAACTTTGTTTACCCCTAATAGGCATATGTCACGGCATTTTTGACGCATGTCCCTATACAAGCTGAGAATTCGGTTTTCGTGGATACGTAGACGTGTGCATAATCATTATCTCGAATATGTACCCTATTCTTTTGATGATGACGATGATCGTCACACCGCATACAGGGTATCTATAGCCGTGATGTCGACCGTGGGCCCGTTACTACACCGGATGGATCAGAGGACTCAGTGTACGTAAGTGCCTCAATAAATGTCCCCCAAGCCATATAGATAGAGCCGATTTTCCTTAATATTTTATTTTACACGCACTTCTCAACAAACGATCGAGCTGGCCATTAATCAGTGTTCTTCAACAATTACTTCTATTCACGATCAGATAAGGTTGACCGTCACTCCAGATAATTCCCCAATTTAAACATCTACTCAACATGCAATAAAGTTGTATCAAAGCAATGAGCAATGACATTTAAAACATCCAGTTCTATTACGATTACCACATACTTCATTCCTCTAGAACGTCGTCCAGAGAACTTACAGGGGCGTCTTTCAGCGCTCAGGTATGGAGCGATCCAGTTTTCGCGACCGTGAGAAGATCGCTCCTGTCGACGCCATCTCCAGCGTCGCTGCTACTGTTGCTGCCGCCCCTGAATCTGCGCCGTTAATATTTGCCTCGTATCGAAGATTACCATCGGTCCTGAACCCCTTATCCACTATATAACTACGACCCTTCCATTGCTTCGTCGGCCGCAATAACTACAACGGCCTTAAACAGGACGTAGCGAGTCCGTAGAATACTTTCGTCTGCGATCACCACTTATCTCTGATACAGTCAATATCGTGCTGATGTTCCATCAAGGGCCACTAGCAGTGATCCCAATCGAATCGGATTCTGTGTAGATCTCTATTGAATCCGCTTTCTTTCTCCTTTGTCTCTTCACGTTTGCGCGGGCGGGCGGGCGGGCGGGCGGACGTTCGTGCTTTCGCCTGCTGGCGCCTATTTGTCCACCATCTGCTGGTAACGCCGATCCTTCAGTTGTTGATACTACTACGCTACTGGCTGAGCTGCGGTTGAAATCGACATTGGTATTACTAATGGTCATCATCATTTAAAATCGTCTTTCTCCTTCTACATATACATACATATGTAAGGTGTGACTTTATGCATCATTGTGCCTATTCGGTAATTAAGGCAACATTTGCCAATAGGTAAATGACCGTTGTTTACTCACAGCGTTGAATAAGGACAGTCTTCACTCCTGTGAAAACAAACATATTCGTTACACACAACGTAACAACAGCCGTTACGAGGTTCCCGCAGAACCCCTTGAAAAGGGCTATATGTACGCTGAAAGCTCTGCCACTTCGAAGTATAGCAACGATAGTAAGCCCATTCATGTCAGTCACTCTCGTACTTCTTAAGGTAATACGGTAACCGTGACAGCTGTCCGTAGACGCGCGTCTGCGTCAAGGTAGTCCATATCTCTATTAATCCATTTATCACCGCTATGAATGATGTCATTGCAAAAAAACAGCTTAGCTACCTCTTTTCCTCGCTCGCTACGACGCCACACGTTACCCAACGACTCAAAGTGACTCGATCTTTGAGTTTATTTGTTGTTAAACCGTTTACGCGCATAAACTGTTAACACTGAGTTTACTCTTCGATATAATTGATGACATCGCACCCCAACGCGAGTTTTCGCTGTTATGTCAAAGACTCATCACAGGCACCGATGGGTTTCAGTGTACGCGAGCTACAATGACAGTAGCGATAATCGACATTTTAGTGGTCGGCGTAGGGACCACTGTTCGAGTAACTTCCGTCTCTCGTCGCAGCCGATGGCGGCATTCGTATAATCCTATCGAAATGCACCGGTGACACGCGAATCGAGCGAACGCCATTACGGAAGTTCAGCACTGAAAGATACGGACGTTTACGAAGAGCCTATCATTAAGCTCGGATAATTGATGTGGTGCAATATAGCCACAGATGACGATTTAAAGCTACACGAACAGTGATGTCACTCATGTTAGTGAGACTCCGTGTTTGTTCACTGATGCTCACCTAGGAACTCCCAGGAATGTTTTTGTTTGTTCGCTTTTTTTTGGCTAAACGTAATTGTTTATCTCGTAACATCGAATGCATCACATTTGTTTGTGGCTCAGCTGTGCTCTCAGAATAGACGTACGTACGTACGTGTGTACGTACGTACGTACGTACGTTCGTTCCTACATAAAGAAATATCTATCTCACGTAATCCTATTTAGCAGATTGCCCTCTGGCAGTGCAGCGAAACGCTGGGTCGTAAACTGAACATCGAAAATATGCCTACTCAAACAAAACTTTTCCGGTCCCCTGCCTAATTTCGCACCTCACTCGGCTAGAGAATCGACCTTAATCCTAATAAGAGAAAGGATCGCATTAGTAACGACAGCGGTAAGTTCGTCGCGCATCATGGTACGCGGAAAAATATAAAACAATCTAGCTTTGTTATCTAGCTGAAATATCAGCGTATCAGATGCCGTATAGTGGGTTCCTTATGTATTTACTACGTCGCTCTGCTCTAAGCCTATACATTTGTGTTATCTTATCTCGGATCACTGTCTGTCATTTACGTGTGTTGAAAAATACGGAAACTTTTTAAATGATGACACTTACAACGATCGACGTGTGTTCGATATAACCTGAGCCGTAGGCGACGGACAACTAGTTCAAATTAATTAACAATGGACATTGACCCGCTTTGTTGACACTGATGTTACCCACTAAACTATTCTCTATGTCGCTAAGAAATTAGCTTCTTTCTTCATTTAATCTGATTAGGTTACATTGTCCGCACGCACACATAGTAAATCTAATCAACGTAAATAGCACTCTTGCGCCGGGGATGATGAGGACGGACCCGCACTCAGTCAGCACGGCCTCCCGTGACCCGCTAGAGGCGATGAACTCTCCACCGTGTGCGACTGTATCGCCGGGTGCGTCCGGTTAGGGCATCTCTATTTCAGGTACGTAACACGCCACCCTGCCATAACTCACAGCAAAGGCTGGCGTTACCGTATATGGACTGCTTTCGTAGGTCCTCTACCGACTAAGTGCGTTCCAGGAAAATTTATTCGAAGCGGAAACTAGAAGCCGGCTAAATTCGGATCGTCTTTACGAACACGAAACGTTGTCCGCTTTCGATGCTATGTCTTTTGGATTCGTTGAGGTGACCATCTTTGTGACGTGATTACATATACAAGCAATTCTACCCACGGATTTTCTACTAAAGACAGTAGATTATGAGAAACCTCAAAACAATCGACAAAACTGAACAGTTTCTGTATACGTGTGTGTGGCTTGTACAGAGAAGGACGTATGCACCGGAGACCTGTGTAAGGACTTCGTGTTTGTCGAATCATCTTTACACTAGTCAATATTGATACTCAAACATTTGTTTCTTTGCCACTGCCGATGTAGTGGGGATCATTGCTATCATCTCTTTTTGAGATCGATATAGGCCTCTCAGGCCACTGGCAGTTTGCTTCATTGTACTCCGGCAAGAAACTCTGCTAAAGAAGGCCAACCGAAAAACACCCGTGCAGAAGGGCATTTCGACAGGCTGGCTTCGGTTACAGCAACAGGGGCTGCAACTATAGCTCGATTGTCTCTTCCGAAAATCACCGATAGCACGCAGCTGCCTAGTTGTCGCCATTGCGACTATCATTGTGGCTGGGTGTATGTGTGTGTAGATGTTCTCAAGCCATGCAATGTTTATTCGAGTTATGTTCCCATCTTGTGTTATATTGTAGCTATACGACTGTATCCGTTTTTGCTGGATTGCACTATAGACGGCGATCGTGTTGCTCTTGCTACAGTCCTTGCTGCTAGTTGTACCGGTATCGACTTCTATGTCGAAACCCTGCACCAGCGCCAAATGTGTTCTAAGCGTTGCAATGGTCCCAACGATCCTCAGAGAGCTTGCGAACATGGTTTTTGGCCTGTTAGGGCATGACGTCCACCAGCTAGAAAGCCTTTGTGTCTTTACAAAAGTAGCGCAGGACTGGTAGCGTTGCGGCAGTGACAGTGAGCAGGCCGGTAAGGGTGAAGATGACATCTTCGTCTCTTTGTCGTTTAATGGCGTTACGACCTTTTCGAAGTACACCAGTGGGTCGATGTCACTACAATGGCAACTAATATCGCCAATGGTAATAACAGGTACGATGTTAACTACATTACCTTTAAACTAAGGCTCATTGATGAAAGCTTTTCGTTTTTATACAGTTGAGTAAGGGATAAGGATCATTTTCCAGTCTTCTCAAATCATGGCTGTTCTTACCCGCTGTTCGACCTAATCGCCTTTGGAAATCGAAACTTTAGGGGTCGAATTTTTTGGAGCTGGATTCCAAAAAAATCTCATAGGGTTCTGGATATAAAAAAGAATTCACTTCGAGCAACTTGATTTACTACTATTGAAGTTGAAGTACTATTGAGTATTGATTGTTGAAGTTAGGCACGAACCACACAAGATGGTACAGCCGGTTGTATATTATCTAGTTGTCTGCTTAAATATAGCATGTAAAAAACCTGTATTGAACCGCAGGTAAAAGACATATATGCATATGTAACAGAACACGTGGCGTGATTCTATGGTAGTTGCTATAATGGGTCTCTTTGCCGCTAAAAGAAACGAGCATTTGACAGATAGCCATGTTTAATATTATAGGTTTAGCTACATCAAAGACGTGATTTCATCGTTGTTCGCTTGTTTACACAAAAAATATACGCAAACGTTAAAAAATTAATATATCTATGAAAAACTATTAAAGCTATTGAAGGATAGCGATAAATGCTCTAACAATCGCCTGTTCCAGACGTTGACTCCTAATCCGCGTCTATTAGAGAAGTGGGTTAATGTCATGAACATTACGGTACTTCTTTTAGGCTTTTGCACAATGATTTCCAGTACCTTGTCTTGTTAAATCGATATCTATACTAATAGTAATATGTTGTTTAGGTCAGCAAAGGCAAATAAGAAGTGCATGAAGTCTTATGCCGGATGATACCAAACGCTGGCGTAATTTTTTCGCTAGAACCTTAAGCCAAGGTTAAAGTACGCACAAGAAAATGTCGGCTTTTGTTTTTTTGCTTGCTCAGTCTGTAGATTTTCAGCTGTCTAGACAACTGTCAGCTCAGTTTGCCCTCGTGCTTATATTAAAGCACCTATACCAAAAAGCTTTGCCCGTTGAATGCGCACGATGCCCGTTCATAAAGAACTTTGATTTCTTTTTTAATGCACTACTTCCAAGTCATCTCTACGCGTAACCATATGATTCTATAATATATCCTATAGTTGAGTATCAAACGTTCTATAAAGCTCCATCACTTCCGTAAGTTACGTTCTGTGGCTCCTGACATTATAGCGGAACTCTGCTTCTCAAAAGAACTATACGATTGATTATAATGTTTTTTTCTTATATATATACCTGGGAATAATAAGAAGAATAATAATTATAAGAAGAAAATGATAACCATAGTGCGAGTGAATGCCGACGTTGAGGGTGACTACGAACGAAGTTGCACAGTTTATCCGCTCAGTGAAGTCTCGTGTTCCGTAAATTAATTAGAGACTGGTATCTGTGACATAAGGACAAATGTGTGCTTTGCAAAACAAACTCTACAGAGCGGATGCATCAAAAAGTTTCAACTTAGAAATCAAAATTACTTTTATCAATCAGTAGGCTTCTACATTTAACAATGATCGCAAGTCGCGACGCCTTGAGCGAAATTGGCTGACAAAAGCCAGCGACATACTGCCGAAGTTAAGCCTGCAGCCTGACATTCACTGGTGTGTATATATATATATATATATGTGGAGTAATAAAGAAAGTTTACTGGAAAGCGGCCGATATCGCCGTTCTAGTGATGTGTTTGGCATTTTTAAAATTTCTATAGCGAAAAGCCTTCATCGCGTGCAGCTAATTAATGCATGTACGTTTGAAACGGTAAGCTTCGCACTGAATTTTCGAGCGTGGACATTGTAAGTTGATGAAGGAAGTTTAGCTAATACATTAGATTTAGGTGAAATAGACGTATCTCGAAAATGCGACAATACTTACTACAGTGCATCTTCTGTCAATTGATTATGTAAAGTATGTACGTTTTTTATTTTCTCAGAAGCTCAGAAACCGGTTTGTAGACATTGTCCGATAATCCATAAATGAAAGCTTAGGAAAAAAGCTCATCAAATTTCCGCAAATCACTAATCCATATTTTATTCGGCTCAGCGTTATGGAAAATTTTCAATAAGTATAACCGTTGGGCTTTTATGCTTGAACCATGTTTCGAACTCCCGTGCAGACACGTTTAAATTTAGCGGAAAGTATATAGGTAAATTCACGTAAGCTAAGCTGGCGACGTTGTTCAGCAATCATTTGCTATAATCGATGCTACTTCGGAACCGTGATCACCTACCTCTATGCTCATCCCTACCTAAAGCTCCGCAGTTCGTCAATCTTGACGAGATAATCATCCTTAAGCGGCAAGCTTTCTAGCTAACAACAAGTGCCTTTGTTTTTTCCCTAGCGACCGATTTAGCATATAAGTATGGCGGCCTCAGCTTCGGTTCGCCGCGCCGCAGCAACAGGCTCATCCGACAATCCGAAGCTAACTACTCTGAAGATGACTACTCCCAATACGACCGGAACCGTCAGTGCCTCTCGAACAACGCGCCGTGAGCCGCCGTTAGCAGCGAATCCCGAGCCAAACACGCCGTTCTTGGCTCCTCCTTCCCGTCCGCCGTCGCCTCGGATCTCCTTTGCCAAAGCTTGCGCAACGGACGGACCCGATTGACACTGCGGCTAGATGCGATATGGGGCGTCCCGCAAGGCGTCGCGTTTCGCAAGGAACGGCGCTTCTTCTTTTGCCGCTCCGATGCTTTGCTGTAGCCGTCGCTGTCGCTGCCACTAGCGCCGCGGCCGACGTTGCTCTTCGATCGATGAGTGGCTAACTCCCTGCCTGGCGGAGCTAACCAGAGCTCAATCGAGGAGTCGAAAAAAAGCCAGAAAGGCTTTGGACCCTCAGGACGGCTGTTGCCGACTGGTGCCGTTACCGTGGCCGGAGCGCTGGAGCGCCGCTGGTGCTAAACGAAGTCCCTACCTCAGCCCTTGCCGCTTACTGCCGGGGTCCACGAGATCTCTTGTTGTCGCCCGCACCGGCCGTGGCCCGCGAACACCATCATGAAATAGAAGAAGAAGACGACAGTGAAGATGACAAAGAGCAGTTAGAGATGCGGCAGTATCAGCTGGTAAGCAACAGTGTAACGTCACCCAATGTACGGTTCCCGCAACAAGTTAACGCGTCTCTTACCGTGTGTTTTCTCCGGTTTGCCGGTTCGGTTAATTGGGTGTCAAAGGCATCCGCGCAGACCGCGCGTGAACGACGCGCCTTCAGAAGATGTCTACGGGTGACAACGGGATACAACGTTAGTTCTCGACGATGCACAAAGAGAAAGTACTGAGATGGCAATCTTTAAAGAAGATGCTGCGGAGATGTGCGGTAACGGTATGTACAGTAGCTTGATTGCGTGAAGTTATTCAGGCCCGATGATATTGTAGTGAGATATAGGTCAGGTTGAGTGCAGGAGTGGCTCAACGATGGAAAGACAGAGTGAATTTTAGAAGTTGCTGCTGATGGGGTATGACCAAAGCGCACGGATCACGTTTCGATTACAAAGCACATCTTGTAACGGTTTAGAGTAGGTCCTTGCGCGGCGACTATAATCAGTGATTGTTTCACGGGCCCAGATTTTCCTGATCGGATCGTTCCCACGTTCCTCTCTGAACCGACGGCCGATTGATTAGAAAACGCTGTCCCAATAGAAGACTTGGCAGGAATTTCTTCGATGTTGTCATGTCTCAGTTTATAGTGTTCAATCGTTACCCGCAAATGTGAACTTCAGGACGCTTGGCACGTCAGGTGTACGCACCTGTGGGTTTGACACAGTTTGGGACGATGGTATACCGGATTGATCTGTAAAAAGATGTGGACACGAAGTCTGGAAAGCTCGTCAGAGGAATGCGTTTGCGTTTGGAGTGGCGGTGTTCATGAGGGAGGGGGAATTTTGAACAAAATATACGATCAGCGATAAGTGAAGTTGCAAGATGATTCGGCAAGGAGGAGTACTTCAACTGCCTTCAGTGATGACCTAATGCCAGGCAGTGACTCATGTACAGAACAGACGAGCGTTGCCGTTCACTTGGGCTCTGGAACATGATGCTACCATTTCAAGCTGTGTCTCCATCACACGGTACGTTGATTGTACTTTATCTTTTACTTGTCTAGTAGATTTTCGATCCATTACTATAGCTCAACCTTAAAAAAGGCTGGTTAAAGGATGGTCAAATCGATATTTATCTATTGTGCTATTTAATTCAATGCGACGAAGGCGACATCTGGTGATCTCGTCGTGAAACAGTTCGAAGTAGCGCAGAAAAAAAACACCGACTTCAAATCAGGGCTAGAGAAGGCTGTATATCTCCTAACGGATAGGACTGCAGTTAGGCAACGCTTGCGTGGTCAATAGTTGGATGTGACGATCTGTATTCGTAGACGAGAGTCACATGTTAAACTTTTAAAATTAAGCAAAAAAATCTAGAGAAAACCTGTCAACAGCCTCGGCAGTCGTCGAGTTATATACCAAATCAGTCGTAAGAAATTAGCAACGACAACAACTGTAATGGACGAACAAATAAAGACTAGCATAAATGAAAACAAAGGATTTTTACCGGCCAACAATTTTTCGTTGTACGCACACGTAACGGTTAACTATAACGATACAGTTTAGCTACAACGGACAAAGTCTTATATCTTCACTCTGAACGCCTTGACCGCTTCCTTTCAACTCTGATTGAATGGCCTTCTGGTGGCAATCACAATGAACCTATCCTTCAGCCATCTGTTCGCATTTCAGGTCCACGCAAAATACCAATGGCTTTTTTTGTTTATTAAAATGTTTTATCTTCAACATCCACAGATCCGCTCGCGACATTTGCCCATCGATATCCTGTGACGTATAATTTCGAGCCACGTATCTGACAAATGATGTCAATCGTTACTGGTGGATATAGAGGGTTTTCCTTCCGCAATTAGTTCCCGACTAGGTAGAGGCGTGAGTAACAAAGTAGTTTGGTATCGGCTCGCTTATATGCTGAACCTGTGCACCGCAAGCAAAGACATTCGTCCGTCCTCAGCCGACAATTGGGGACTACCTATCGTAGTCGACCTTGTGCCACTGGCTTTTGCCAATGGCAATGAACTAATAATGAATGGCCTTACTACGTCGTGACAAATTTTGATACTAACGATCTGCGTCCCAAACAACGATGTTTCTAAAATGTTCTCAAATATATATATATATATATGTACAAGCCCTTTGAACATGAAACAATAAATTTACATTTAATTAAACTGTTTAGTTTAATAGAAAGAAGCGTTACAATTGCGCCAATCAACGGCATGTGCTAATTTTATTCATTGATAGCTTCTAGAACTCGAAGATTTTTCAAGCGTGCAGGGGTATTGGCGTGCAGATCTTACCTTTGATTATCTGTATCATATGATCATCGTTACCGGTGTTCTGTTGACACGTTATCTGCGCGAAAGCTTCGAGGGCCTCGTGTTAAACGATTAAGCTGATAGTGGCCGTCTGATGGCCGACATCGAAACGACCTAACGAACAGACTGACTGAAGGAACATTTGATTAACGATGGTAAGAGCTAACGGCAAAAAAGGTCAGTGCCTGAATTGTTTATGAACAGATGGCCATGATGAAGGTTCAACAGTTGAACATCACAGCTATTTAGTTATGTAAAATTTTACGCCATTACTATTGATAAATATCCAATTAATGAATGTTTATTTTATCATAGGGCTGAAACGGCAATAAAGTGCTTTTATAGTAGGTCGGAACTATATATCAATGTGCCGATACGAAACAATCAGTGATCATTTACCTGAGTGGCAATTTAGTCCAGTTTTAGCTAGGATTAATCAGGCTATGGTGAAATATTCAGAATTTTATCAAGGAAATGCTGGCAGGGCTACACAAACGGGTCCTAGCAGGATTTTCAGAACCGAAAAAAAAAAGGCACTGCTAAAGGAAATTTCCATATCAGGCCAATGACAAGCCTGCATACATCTACATATGACAGATGCTTTACGCATGTATTCCTCCATTCTATCTAGTTGTTATGATATAATTCAAATTGACGCAAGTATGGTACTGAGCAATTTTTTCGTTGATCATCTACTACGCGTGTATATATAGGTGGTATCATGCAAATCGGACGCGACAACACGATAACTTCCCTAGCGCTATATATAATTGGATAGGCGGTTACAGTGTTGTACATTGTAAAATTCTATGTCTGTAAGATCCGCGTTGGATTCATCTTGCTTTTGCTGTTCTATCATCGAAATGTGGGCTTGGTCTTTAAACGCTTATAAAATAGAAGAGTACGCTCCCTGTGCTTTGAAACGAGAATGACAACGGCTCAGATGACGTTCGGTTTCCTTTGTAGAACGTTTTCGTTCGTAGAGATTGCTGATGTTTGACATCTGCTACGCGGTCCTTTGATACAGTTGGACGAATCGGAATTAGGGTGGCATCGTCATCTCCTTGTTTCCATGTAAATTATAAGACCTACACATGATAGACGCAAATCTTCCCAAGTATCCTTTATACTTGGGTGTGTTATTCACGAATAAATAGTCCGCGTTCTTCGAATGTACGATTGTCCTACTGTCATTACGTGAACGTTGTTACTGCTACGAGGGGCCAGAAAATCGAATATCGAGGATCGGTGTTATTTTCCAAATGTTTTTACCTATACCCTCTAGATAATGTTAGTCGATGGACATGTAGGCCTGTTTGGACACGAGCCGTCAAATGAAGATGTAGAAAAAAACAAACACCTGAATTAGCCGTTGTCGTTGACAACGAGCTGTTGGCAGTGCGAATACCTCTAAAGGGGAACATTTTCGTGCGAAAGATGTTCTTACTAAATAAATTGCACAAGCTTTGCTATTCAACCCCGCTATATCGTGACGCGATTCTTCTTCGTGGCTACGAACGCCTAGTTTATTTGGTAGCCACTGGCAAAAATTCTAACAACTCTATTATTTCAGATACAAATTCGTAGAGTTATTGAATTCCTTCACTTGTCCAACTCAGACTATCCTTATTGTCCTAAAATAGCCCGCGGGGTATTGTCTAAAGTTCACCGCCAACTCAAGCAAAAATTAAAATGACTGAAAAACATTTTTACTTATTTTGCAACATTTTGGAGTTCAAAATGCATATATATATATATGTGTGTGTATGTGTGTATATATATAAATAAGTTCGGACAGGAAACAGCCCAAGCAGAAGTGGTCCAATTGAATATAGCTTTTTTAACGAAAAGCCTATGCGTTTGACGACGACGACGGCGACGACGGCGACAATCGTTGGAACGTTTTTATATGATATCGACCGTCTGGGTGCACAATTCTGAATTCATTTACTTGAACAAACATTATATCATCTGGTCTACGGAATACAGACTTTATCCAGAACCAAATACTTTAGACAAACCTCAGCGATGGCTTAGTTGATAGTGAAAACCGGTATAATACGTCAGTTTGGCGTGAATCGCTTATTTGAACCTGGACATTAATGCGCACGATTTAATTCGGATGATTTTCCTACGAGGAAAGGTTCATTTCTGCAACAAGGACGATCACGGTCATAACCTGAGATATGAAATCGTCAAAGGCCTAATTTATAGAAGGAAAATTTACGTTTTATAGAGTGAGAAGTTCTATCATATACCTGAGGTGCTGCGTCCGGCCTACGAGGGGCTGTGGGGCCGAACGTACGCTTGTTACAGCTTTGATACTAGTTGTATCCAAAAAGATTACAGAGCCATAGCCATAAACTACTTGATTCCGATAGCTGGCTAAGTACTAAAAATTTCTATAGATATATACATTCGACTATTAACAACAATTGTTTATATCTAAGGATAAGCGGACAGATTGGCTAAAAAGTCAGGGGCGACTTAAAAATAGATAATCAATAAAGGCGGAAGAACGAGTAAATGAATAAACAGAGTCTAAAATTCTGTTAGCAAATACAACGACAGCACGTGGCGACTTTTTCGAAAGGACTCGATCTGCAGGAGAAACGACGCCTGTCTGCTCTTATATATGCATACATGTATGTATGTGTATGGCATTGTTTCAGTGGTGTATGGATAGCCAACGGCTGACCTTGATATCGGTCGTTTCACGGCGCGAATTTCACTTTCGCGATCTTCATCATCACCGACAAAAAAAAAAGATCGAATCAGAGTTTTCTTTTTTTTGTCCTCGTCAACTTCGTCGCCGTTGCTCCTTTTTGCCATCTTCACCGTAACTGCTGGAAGTCTTCGCCGGAGTCGCGGCAGCGGCAGCGACGGCCATCGATTTGGCAGAGTCAGTTTCGCTTTGTCCAGAGCGGTAAAGACCGTCGTACTGACTGGTATCGTCGTTTGGCGTCGTATTGGCGACTGAGAGGCGGTGCGAGAAGCCGTAGCCGGCACCATCACTAAGTCCCACAGTAATAGTCGTCGTCGTCGTCGACAATAGGCACCGTTGATTCCATGCAGAAATGACGGGTTACAGCAGCGGTGCTAGGAGCAGTCCAGTAAAAACCGCAACATTAACTTGAGTTCATATTGGTATCAAGAGCGGGACTGACCAGGCGACTGGCTGGCGCCATTTAACAACAATAATAATAGTAATAATAGTAGGATTCACAGCAATAAACGACAGTGGATCTAACAGTGTTTCTGCTTTCGTTCAGTGCGCCAGAAGCGGTGCAGCGGGCGTTCGGCGCATTTTTGGTCGTTTTCGCCGCTCATCTATCGGCCGCTTTATTCCAGCTAAAACAGCTAGAGCGAAGAGAGTCAGGCAAATAGGGAAATCATTGCGCTTATTTATCGATTATTAATTAATCCACGTCTCTTCTTGATGCAAGAGCGTTCTACTGTTCCGTAATAACACGCTAATAGTAATTGTGCTAGTAGCATCGGCAGGCGTATTCCTGAACAAATTTACCCATAGCCGTAAAGTATAGACAGAGTGGGTTTTTGCGACGTTGCTTTAGATGGACCATCTGTATAAGTTTCATATTCTGTTTTGTCTTCAAAGTAGCGCGGCCACCGTCGTTTCCCTGAGATCTAGGCACTAAGTGGGTACAGTGATCTGGATTGATCTTTACATCA